GCTAGTTTCCCATTTTCAAATCTTATAAAATCCTTTTTTTCCTCAACTATCCATGAATACAATTTCCATAATTTGGCTCAGTGATTGCCTTAACTGAAACGTACAAGTTGCACGTAGATTGCGTTCTAATAACGTACTAAAAAACGCTTTATCTTATTACGAACATTGTAAATTTGCTTGCAATCTTATTTAGTCGACCATCATCATTGCCAAAAGCTCAAACTGAGCTCCAAGCGGAACCAAAACAGCCCCAACAGCTCGACAACGAGCACGAATATCAACCAAAACACCACAATATTGCACGAATATCAACCGAAAACCCAACAATATAGAGAGAAAAAAGTTCCAAATTAGCATAGTAACCAAAAACCACAGCAGCTCGACAACGAGCACGAATAACCACCAAAAACCCATCAATATAGAGCTAAACAAGCTCAAAATCAGCATAGTAACAAAAAAACAGTCCTAGCAGCCCAACAATGAGTACTAATATCAACCAAAATCCCCACAATATAGAGCTAAACAAGCTTGAAATCAGCATAGTAACAAAAAAACAGCCTCAACAGCTCGACAACGAGCACACATATCAACCAAAAACCCAACAATATAGAGCTAAACAAGCTCGAAATCAGCATAGTAACAAAAAAAACTACCCCAGCTGCTCGACAAAGAGCACTAATATGAACAAAAAAACCAACAATATAGAGCTAAACAAGCCCGAAATCGGCATAGTAACAATAAAAACAGCACCACCAGCTCGACAACGAGCATGAATACTAAACAAGCCCGAAATCACCATAGTAACAAAAAAACAACCCCAACAGCTCGACAACTTGCAAGAACATCAATCAAAAGCCCAAAAATATAGAGCTAAACAAGCTCGAAATTGGCATATTAACAAAAAAAACAGCCCCAGCAGCTCGACAACGAGCACAAACATCAACAAAACCCCCCCACAATATAGAGCTAAACAAGCTCGAAATCAGCATAGTAACAAAAAAAACAGGCCCAGCAGCTCGACAACGAGCACGAATACCAACCAAAAATCCAACAATATAGAGCTAAACAAGCTCAAAATCAGCATAGTAATAATAAAAAGGCCCAGCAGTTCAAAAACGAGCACAAATATCAACAAAAAACCCAGCAGTGAATCAAGTTATATGCAAAATTGACATTGGCAATTAAACGTCAAATAAGATGGTGGGCAAGGATTCTCCACATCCTTGATCATAAACAGACTAGTCTATAATTGGTTACTTTTCTCAAAAAATCTTTTTTTAATAACAAGATTAGTAAATTAATGATATGCATAAAGCATTAAATAGCATATGAATTTTATTAATGATGAAATTTCTCAAATACCAAAATAACTAAAGCCTAATTAATGATTCTTAACAAGTGTCCTATGTCCACTTGTTAACAAAATCCTTAAAACACCCTATTTGAAATTTGTTGTTTTCTGATTTTGGTGGCTAACAAAGGGGGTGTTTTCTTCAATTTCTATGAATTATAGGAAAATGAAAACACACAAAATATAGATTTCCTTGTATTTCTTAAAAAGAGTACAGGAAAAGTTTTGAGAAGTCAAAAAGTATCAATTTTCTTGTTTTTTGTACTTTGCTTGTTTGGTTCAAATAAAGAAAATTAGCCCAAAACGTTATTGAAATAGCAAGTTCTCTTTTTCTGTTCTTCGGTTACACATGCCAAATTTATAAAAAAGTATCAACTACCATATTTATCACTTTATAACGGCAAGTTTCGCATTCTAAAATCTTATAAAATCTTTCTATCGTCAACTATCCATGAACACAAAATTTCCACAATTGGCTCAGTAATTGGTCTTTTATCAAAATTGATTGCCTCAACTGAAACGTACAAGTTAAAATAGACTGTGTTCTAATAACGTAGTAAAGTACGCTTTATCTTATTATGTGAGATTTCTTCCGTTGTTTTGTTTTTTTAGATTTCGTGAAATGGGTTTGTAATTCTTCCGTTGTTTGTCATTTTCAGCCTCTTTTTTCTTTTTTTTTCTTTTTTATTTTGAGATTTCCTGACATGGGTTCTCTTCAATCGATGAGTGCCATTTTCAGCATTTTTTCTGAGATTGGTTATCTTCAAACTGTTGAGAATGCCATTTTCAGCTGCTTTTTTTTGTGAGATTTCGTGAGATGGGTTTCTTTAATCCGACGAGAGTTTCATCTGCAGCCTCTTTTTTTTTTTTGAGATTTCGTGAGATGGGTGCCATTTTCAGCCTTTTTTTTTTCTTTTAAGCTTTTGTTTTCTTGAGTTGCGATCACCTGCTGTCAACTGTGCTTGAGTGTTTGATGCCCTTGAATTCACATACTGAGAGAGATAAAACTGCATGTAACCTCTCTCTGTATCTGCTTTTTAGTGCTAGTAAAAGAGTCACGTGGTGATAATAAGATATAAATGATCTTTGGTTGAGGGTGTGTTTGTATACTGAAGGAGTATTGGAAGAACAGATGGTCCCTGTTCTCAACCATCACTCCACAAAAAGTGTATGAGTTCTCATGCAGAACCCCAATATGATGAAGTCTAGCCTTTGTAGGCAATCTGTGCAGGCAAGCCAACAATGTAGTGAACTTATGTTTAGGAATAGATAATCTATTCCAAGCCACTTCAAGTTCCCCTCATTGAAAGATATACAAAGCAGTGCTTCATGTCTGAGTTTAAGTATTCTCTTGAACACCCAAGAGAAATGAGATTTTATATCAATATCCCACACACATTTCTTTTTAAGATAATAACCATGAACTCATCTCACCCATACATACATGCACATACATACACACATACACAAGCACACACGCACACATACAGGCATACACACTTAAAACATTTCTGAATTCGTGTAAAACAACACTAAGGCAAACAGTATTCACCAGTTCAACTGGACACATAATTAATCTTTAATAGAAACAGTTTGCCTAAATGAAACATGGTAGTTGGATCTCTGCTATTCCTTCATATGTAATGTGTACATAGACACTGCTATTCCTTCATATGTAATGTGTACATAGACAAGTGCACAAACACAATTAAAGATACCCAAATATTCTGGAAAGCAAAGCTTGCTTTTATGGATAAATGTCATATGTTAACAGTATCATAAAAGCATTTACCGTTAGTCACAGTGAATAACTTACATTAGCACCATCTGTGCAGTTATATAGAGTGTGATGTAATATTTTCCAGGCATCTTGTATTGCTGGAACATTCTTACCATATCTCCTCCTTGGGTATAAATCTATCCATGCCTGATAGAAAAAACAAAATGATTCAAAAATAGTTAACATTTGCAGGAAATAGTCTAGCAGCACTAACTTAAAACAAAATTACTCATTATCAAAAAAATACCAGCTGCCTGTTGCAGGCATCTACAAGCTCACAAGCCACAAGCAACCAAGCTCAACGACAAACTTAAACTGAAACAACCAAGCTCACAAGCCATCAAAAACAAGCTCACAAGCCATCAGATATTTATACTCTTGACTATACTGTCATTTTCAGAACAACAAAATAGGGAAATTCCAATCCAAAATTGAAGAAAGCACATAGCATTTTTATTATATACACTCTGAAGAAAAGAATTTTTAAAACTACATTTTCCAATTTATACATTTTAGTGATTATTAAAAGTAAAAGAAAAATTTAAAATCTACCAATTTCCTTCAGAATCATGAAATTTTCCTTAATTCCATCTACATTTTCTTCAATTCTTCCATAATCCCCACATCACTAACATACACAAATAAACAAAAAAACCAAAATCAAATGTACGGATTAAATCAACAAAAAAGGGAAAATGAACCAAAAATACCAGATCCAAATTCTTATCAAAACAATACACATGAACTCTACTCCCTGAACTCCCTGCATCAAAAATAACCGCGTAGCTCCTCGGCCCTAAACCCCTAGGCACCGTCTTCTGACCAACCGCCACCGTCGACATGTCCTTCGTTGTCATCAACTTCGACGCTGTCGATGATCGCGACATCAAGAAGAGCACGAAAGAGATAAGGAGCAAAGGGATCGAAACTACGAGGATCACACCTTTGTAGCGTTGGATCTTATTGGGTATGGATTCTTGTCGGGCGCGCTTCATCTTGGCGTCGAGATCCGCGTGAGAGTGGGTGAGCTCGGCGGCGGAGGGGGAGACGGCGGGTAAAAGAGGAGGGAGACGAAAATGAAGCGGTGACTCTAGAGTTGGAGCGCCATTGAGATTTCGGGATCTCATTCAAGGGTGTGATGAGCTAGACACCGGACTGTCAGAGATCCAGCCCACATCCGAGCTCAAAGACGGGATTTCACAAATCCTAAAAACAATTAGTTTTTTATAATTTTGGGATTCAATATCCCAAATTTTTTTTTGAAACAAACTTGGTTTATGGAATTTTAAAACCCAAAATACCCCCTTTTTACATCCCAAAACTTAAAATCCACCCTATATATCAAAAAAAAAAAAGGAAACAACCCCCCCCAAACAATGTTGGTAGAAGAGGATTGCTACGGTTACTATTGACCAAAGTAAAGAAGAGCTTTACATGAGATGGTTGTCTTCAATCCGATGAGAGTGCCATTTTCTGCCTCTTTATTTTTAGATTTCGTGAGATGGTTGGTCTTCAATCCGATGAGACTCCCATTTTCAGCCTTTTTTTATTTTTGAGTATTCGTGAGATGGGTTGTCTTCAATCCGATGTTATTTCTCTTCTATCTGTATAGTTTAGAAACCCTATACCTTTAAACTATTTTACAACTCGCATCTTCTTATATAGCAAGATTTCTTTTTCAAACAATTTCTTATACTTGCAAAATTGTTTATTTAATTTACAATGTACCTTTGAACTATCTTTTGCATCATGTAGAAGCAAATAGGCTTAGCAATTGGTTTGTCTAATTTAAAATTAAAACACTTTTTTTTTGTAATTTTATTAACGAATTTCGAATATACGATAGACTGACTGATTAATTTGCTTCAGGAAAACCATCCTAGCAAGCGGAAGCAGGCTGTGCTCATCCTTTTCTACGCTATATTAGCGTTCAGTACAGCTTCATTGTTCTCGCTTTGGTCGGGATCAAGACATCCAAGTCATTGGATGTTGTTCCTTGATGGGCTCTTGTTCACGGCGACCCTGGTCGTTACCGCTATGATTCAGTTTATCATCCCTACTGAGCGGTGCCTCAGACTTGCCACTGCAGCCCTCGGCATCGGCATGCTGATGATGGGCTATGCCTTCATGGCGAGTCTTTACCAGGCACCGGCACCCACTCCGCCCCCAGCCCCGGCTGTCCTCCATGGCTAGCTGTTGATTTGTTTTTCTCATTTTCAGTATTACTACTATCAGACTCCGTGCAGGTTTAATGTCTGTTTTCTGTTATTGTGGTTGTTGACGCGCTACGTACTTTGTTTGGTTGGAAATCATCATTACTACATTCCCAAGTTTTATGTTTGTTTTATATATGTTGGCGTGCACGGTTAATTGGCTAGTTTTCATGCTTAATTCTCTGTTTGATTGGAACTTAATCCTAGACATGCATCTTACTTAATTCAGTTGGTATTTTATCTTTGTTAGAACTAGTGATCTGTGGACGCATACTGCTAGCTCAATCTAAGATCTTGAATTAATTACATCGTTTGCTCTACAATGAATTTCTTTGCATGTATACATTTGAAAGGAATATGCTTATCCTTTTATAGAGTAAAGCCATCTGATTTCATTTATTTCAAAAGTTCCGTTTTTATTTATTTTTTGGGTCTTCCATAGAGTTCGATATTGTGCAATGGCCGGTTGCATGCCGTTGTAAATATCGTTGTTTAGTTTGTTTTTAATATTTCATAATTTGCAATTGCAATTTTACAATCTTGCTAAGTGCAAAAGAAAGAAAGAGAATTAATGCTGTAATTATTCCACGAGGAACACAAATAAATTTTAGAAACATGAAAGAAAAGCTCTCCAAAGGGAGGAAGAAACTATGCATTTTGTTGCAATTACAGATCAAAACCTTCGGAAACGTTCACCATCACTGCACAGAATTAAGCAACTGTAGATGCATGTGAATCACAAAGACTAGCAGAAACCAACATTTCCTTTTTCCTAACAAAAAAGCCTACCAGGTGATAAGGACATCTATTGTGCCGAAATCAGGATATGCGGCTGCTCTGCTGGGCTGTTAACCTGTAAAAAAAAAAAAAAAAAAAAAAATTCACCTGCTGGGCTGTTAACCTGTAAAAAAAAAAAAAAAAAAAAAATTCCACCCTCAACTTGAAAAATGCAGTAAATAAATGAGTGGCAAATGGAAACCCCCATCGGAAAAAGTAACATCACTATCCAGAAATTAGTTCTTTTCCAGCATTCACACAAAGCCCTTAGCAAGAACAACTTTCAGTTATAAAAATAAACCATAAAACTTTATGTACTGCTGGATAATATGTATGTATGAATAGAGTTTCACCTAGTAGCAAATTTCTTCTGGCTTTTTATATGACTTCAGGCTTGGGCTTTTTTGCTTCCTTAGTACATAGCAAATTTATGGGGCCTCTTGTCTTCACGCGCAACTCCTTAAAAGAGGAATACGTTCACTTTTAAGAAGTATATACATGATTTGCCCTTAGGTGGTGTTTGGTTCACTAGTTTTATAGAAAACGGCTGATAGTGACAGTTTGTAAATAAATCTTTTCTGTAGATTTCTATAAACTGTGTTTAGTTCAAAAAATATGTAGAATAGCTTTCTATAAAATAGAGAAAAGTGCCACATTTTATAGAAATCAACTTCCACTCAAAATGAGCTGAAATCACCTGGAAATCTAATAACACTATTATTAAAACTAATAAAATCACGCTCGTACCAATTTCGGCCCCATTTCACATTTCTCGTGCTCTTGTTCCTCACCTATTGACGCAATTTGCCAGCGAGCTCAAAGTTCGTCGGGCTTCTTGCTGCGTGGGTTGGTTTAGCAATTGGTTTGGGAATTTTAGTCGAAATATGTGTTTCCATGGTTGATCTTCTGAGCTAATGAGATATAAAATTGAACCCCTAAACCCTATTGATTTTCCGAGCTATTGCGGTTGATTTTTCCATAATTTTTTTATGTTTTGATTTTCCAAGCTATTGGGTTGATTTTACTACTATTGTGGTTTGATTAGCGGTTGATTTCATCAATCAATTGACCAGTTAATACAATGAAGAAAATTATGGGTTGATGTTAACCCGTTTGTGACAAAATGAGTCTTTTAATTGTTGGATAAGAAAATTATGGCTTGGTATCTTTCATTTGTTTGATAACTCCACTATATATCTGTCTATACTTGTAGTATGCAGCCTTGTTGGATTCTTGTAACTGTTGAAAAAATTGTTTTCAGTCTTAACAAAAAGTTAAGTTTATGCTAGCCTAACACTTGGAAGCTAATTCTTTCTAGTTTTTTTTTATAATGATTCTTTAATTAAGTGGTTTAAACCGATCATGTGCAAACATCGCCCTCATTAATTCAATCCTATGCATGTCTATGTTGTACAAAATCATTTATTAATATTGCATACATATATTACAAATGAACCATTTTTCATTTAGCGTCATTCTTCGTGGCTGCATAAACGTCTTAAACTTTAATTTTTTGGTAATTAATGTAGATGGAAGGTGTAGATGAAGAACAAATAAAAAGGATGTGTGCTAATACGTTATATTTTCCGTGGTCACAATAATAGCTTGTTTATTGAGAATGTGTGCTAGGCGCAAATCAATTTGTAATGCTCCAAAAGAGAATAAGATGAGGAATTTTTTTTGTAAATGCCCACTTTAAGCGCTTCTTGAAGGATATAGTGATAGTTGCAGATCTTATATTAGAATGAGGCCTAAAACTTTTTTCAAACTTGCGGATATAATGCGAAATAATGATTTTTTTAAAAGGATACATGACACCTTCAAGTTGAAGAACAACTCGCTATGTTTCTTTGCATAGTAGGTCATAAAACCAAAAATATAGTAACGAGGGTCGAATTCATAAGATCGGGTGAAACATTTTGTAGGTACTTTAATAAGATCCTACAGGCTATGAATGGTTTTCGCTATAGATACATGAAGCAAACACCTAATGAGATTCCTAATGAGATTGCCAACAATCCAAACTATTTTCCTTACTTCAAGATAAGAGAGTTAAATTGTTTGAGTTAGTGATTTGCATAATTTAATAATATGAGAAACTAATAATTTGAATCATTGTCGAGTTTGGATAGGATTGCATTGTATGATTAATATAACACATATTGACGCAATGTTACCCTAACCTAGTTGCACGCTTTAGAGGGTGTAAATGTGTAATGCAAAATATTTTAGCTGCGTGTACTCCAAATAAACTTTTCGCATATGTCCTAGCTGGGTGGGAAAATGAGGCAAATGACGTATATGATTTTGCAAGACGCATTGTCTAGACAACAACCTTACGGATTAAGAGTATATGGTGGTATTCTTCCACCTCATTTAATAGATAGTCAGCTAAATAATGTGATCGAATTGATCACAATTTTCTTTTTATAATGTAGGCAAATATTATCTTTGTGACACTAGATCACTACCATGCCTGGTCTCATCTCTCCATACAGTGGTGTATGTTATCATTTAAATGAACAAATTGGTAGGACACCCAGAAATAGTACGGAGTTATCCAATTTAAGACACTTCTCTTTACGGTCTAAAATTTAATCAACCTTTGGTACATTGAAGAATCAGTTCAAAATTCTTTTGGCGAAGCCTAATTATCCATTCCCCACACAAGTGGACATCGTCTTAGCATGTACTATATTGCATAATTTTATTGCAAATGAAGATCCACAAGATGACATCTTGAATGTGAATGTAGTAATTGATGAGGAGAATGAGGACATAGCAAATGAAGATGATACAAACGTAGTTGACTTCACTCAATTTAGGACACAAAGAGAGGATCGTGATGCAAGAAATGAATGGAAGACCTTAGGGACCAAATTGCATGGGCAGTGTGAGTTGATTATTGTGCAAAATATAAAGATGGTGGCACCACAAAAATTGGTTTGTAATTTTATTGTTTTCGTATATTTCAGACTATATTTTAGTATTTTATAATTGTGCTTGTATGGACAATGTAATTTCTCATCTCTTACTTGCAACTATGTAATTCTGTATTGTTTTCTTATATTCCAGACTATATTTTAGTATTTTATAAGTGTGCTTGTATGGACAATGTAATTTCTCATGGACAATGTAATTTCTCATCTCTTACTTGCAACTATGTAATTCTGTATTGACTATCTTAGATTGTTCTACATATTTAATTATGTATTTTACTATTTCTTCGTAATTGTCCTTGTATGAATAATGTATTTTTTTATCCCTTGCAAGAATTTATGGTTGTTTTTTATTATTGCACATAGGTATGTCTAATAAAGAGGGAGGAAAACAAAACTTGCCCTCTTCACCTTATGCGTCGCCAATTGATTCAGGCGATATTACTGTGAATTTTATTCCATATCCACATCAATTGTTCAATCTGCCACATATGATGCCGACTTTTCCCCATAGTTCCCACCATTTGAAGAGAATTATAGTGGAATGAGACAACAACGTGTGTTATACACTAACATGTTGAACAGTCCCCAAGGCTTGTATATCCCGTCTTTGAGTTCTCAAAGCAGCCATCCACAACAAATGTCACAAACCACCGGTGAATTTGATGGACCTCAAAGCAATATCATTAATGTGAGTCAGGAGGTATAACCCTCCAAAAAAACAAAAAAAATTGACTCACAAGAGGAAAGTGCCTGCAACACGAGGAGCTGCTAGCCTCAATTCGAAGGGAGTTTCCAGCATGTGGTGGTTCCTCGAGCATAATTCAGAGCTTATACCATGTCTTGCAGAACTCATGAATTCCGGAGTGAAGGTTGATAAAAACTTCAAAGCTGAAGCTTACAAAATAGCAACTATGAAGATGAACAGGAAATTCAAAAATAACTACACCCACCTTAATGTGATTAATCGCATGAAAACTTGGAGAACCAAATTTTATGATATGAAGACTTGCACCAACATAAGTGGTGCGGGATGCAATGAGTAAAACTGTATGGTAATCCTAGATGAGGAGACACTTAAAATATGGGCTCAGTTTTTAATTTTATCATAACAATGAATTTAATTTATTTGGATGTAAGAAGGTTATAATTAATTTCACACAACATTTTTTACATATTGCAGGACAAAAATAACTCTAAGCTAAGAGGATATATAAACAAGCCTCTTTAGTTCTACAAACACTTATAGAAGATCATGGGTGATGATCAAGCTAGGGCTGAATTTGTTAGGGTAGTTTATGTTAAGATTGGTACTAACAACGCCATTTCTCTTGATGATGATGATAGAGGCATTCCACTTGAGAGTGAAACTGAGCCTCAATCTGATGCTAACACTACCCCAAACCCCCCTTTTAGAAAATCCCAGCACGAGTCTAACATAAAGCCTT